TTGTAGAGGACGACGAGATCTACAATTTCCATGTAAAAATTCTTCGCTAGCGTCAATAGTTTACGAGTAATTTGCAAAAAACTGTTTTTTCGTTTTTCGCCAATAACTCGTAAACTATTAACGCTAGCGAAATACTTTTACATGGAAATTGTAGGTCTCGTTGTCCTCTACAAGAAAGGTCCTATACAATTTTCTCGTATCTCCAAGGGTTTAGGAGTTATTGAGGAAAAACGAAATTTTTTTCCAAAAGTTCGCCGTTTCGACGCTGGGATGGTCGGATTTTGTCAACATCAATAAAATGCCAAATAATCATACGTAACTCATTAAATATCGAAATTAGAAGATAAATGGACTATTTTTAATTATCGGAAATGCGTTTTCCTAAGATACATACATTTTTGGGATTGACTGTATAGCCAATACATCCTTAAACGAAATATATTGCAAATGAAATGCCTCGGAAATTATTAGAAATTCCACGTCTGCGGAGTCTGAATCATTGGTACTAATGCGAAATCGTTTGTAAAACAGGCAAGAAAGTGTCCGATTACTTCTCTGGCACGAACTGGCGGGTGCATCAAGATTGGCTCTACTGCAAGTAAGCGGAAAGAACGCTTGAGAACGACGTGTATCGGTGACATATTACTGTTTTACTGTACAGATATCATTACGAGGACGAGCGATCGTTCGACACCCCAGAAGCGCAGTTGCTGCACTTCCTGGAGCGAACTCGCCAGCCAGGCTGGCGATGGAACGACATGAAACAGCCGTCCCAGCCGCCAGAATATTCGGCCGGAAACGACACCGATCGCAAATCTAAACGTGAGTTCGAATATCTTCGTACGATCGTATCGAACGATCTGTACGATCGAGGGATCTTTCTGTTCCAATAGCCACGCCGTACAAAGCGGACAAGGACTCGTACTACTGCGACAGGGACTTATTGATGAGTCTAGTATTCGACGCAAAGGTAACCGAGTGGTTTTCAAATCCCAGCACTGCACGCGTAGAGAAAGGGTGAGTATCGATACAACGTTCTGCTTGAAACAAGACGAAATTAAAGTTAGCTGTCCGTTTGAGAGTAGCTCGCAGAAAGAAGCCGAGTATTCCATTTCGTAGATATATCTTCGCAATTTTAATTCCGACACGAACAGAGCTCGTTAGCTCTTCGGGATTAAATTTCTCGAAAGGGAAACACTTACGGAGAGATAGAGGAACTTTCAAATGGGCATCCGGCTTCGACGAACTGCGCTTCATAGAATTCACTGCTCCAACGATAACGACGTCGAACAGATTTTCGTTTCAAAACTAGGTTTCGCTTTCTTTTTATCAAACAAATTGTTAACTCGGTTTATTCCTCGCGTGTCGATATACGATTAAAACGTCTCTCTCATGAGGTCTCGCGCAAGTCTGTTTCACTGTGTCAAATTGATACGAGGGACAGACGAGGCTCTCGAGAGAAAACCTGAGGCAAACGTGTCATCGGGCAAGTCCTGCGAGCCTACAATCGTTTCTTTTCCGTTACGTTTTCTGCACGCTTAATCACGAACTCGTTCTCTCTCTCTCTCTCTCTCTCTCTCTCTCTCTCTCTCTGATCACTCCGCGTTCTATCCATCGTCAGGATTTTAATTGAAAAATGAAACGAATGCATCCATTTTCTTTTTTACTAATATTTACCACTTTGACGCCATGCAGACCTTTAGCTATGCTGATGAATCTGCTGCCCAGGTAACGTCAATCACAAACGCACTTTACGTTTTTAGAAAATAACCAGCTGGCTACCTAGTGTTCTACCGCTATTTTTACGAGCTGTACGACGTTCTCATTTTCATGATTAGTTCGTTATGACTGTCCACGTATCGCTCCTTCCTCTACCATTTTCCCACCCCGAGCATCAATTTTTGTTTCGTCAATTCTTTTATTTCTTACTCACGTAACGTTCAACGTATAATTTAACGAAGGGTATCGTCTACTGAGAACGAAGCTCGTCTCGGGACTGTCGTCTCGAAGAGGAACAACAGTCTGGATGAAGACGGAGCGACTTTGTTAATTCTATTCTCCAGTAGTCAGAATATTTATATCCGTCTGTTCGCGTAACGCCGAGTATCGCTATAATCGTACAGAGCTTAAGGGATGATCGCTTCCTCTTCCGGGGTTTAACAGAATCCTCCCCGTAGGAAAGACTTCCAACAACGCTTCGGCGTAAGGCTCGCCTTCATGGCTACTCGCAGTGGCCTGACGAGGTGGCAGGATTTTCTTCTGGATAAAGAGAGCACCAGTCCCGAGGATCATTTCAGTAAGCGGTACGCAGGGGCCATCGACGAGGTCTGGTACAAGCGGGCGGTGGAACAGTACTATGTTCAACCGGAGAGTTTCGTGTTCTCCGTGCCAATCGACGACGAGGGTGCCGACAACACCACCCTCGTCACCGCCAGTCGTGCCATTTTCATCGGTACGCTGACACGTAAAAACCCATGAAAATCATAGTAGCGACCCGTGGTAGAACGATCGTTCATCGGGAGTTAACGCGACCTAAACGTTCCTCAGAGACTGACAAAGCGAAAGCGCCAGCAGCCGTGGTCGGGTTCCAGTTCCAACACACCGCTCTCCAGGCCCTGTTCCAGAATATAACGTTCAGCTGCGACGGTTCCAGAAGCTGCAACGCGAACTGCGGCGCGGACCCCTACGCTTGTTACTTGCTCGACAACAACGGATATGTGATCGCGGCTAAAGACGAGTCAGACGCGGGCAAATTCTTCGGGAGACTATGGGGACCGATCATGTCCAGTCTGGTGAAGGAAGGAGTCTTCGAGAGGATCAGGATATTCGACTATCAAGCGGTCTGTTTCAAGAGCAAGGGTGGTAGCAACGACGCGAGCATCTTGTCGACGGTAAGAAGACAGCTCGGTATTTCGTTTTTCGCTGGTTGCAAGTCGTGAATTAATTACTGGGTATCGTTCAGCCGTGGAAGCATGCACAGAGGATGGTCTCGTGGCTGATCGGCCATGCAGCTTGGGCCTGGGCGAACGCCGGTATATGGAGTTCCGAGCACGCGGAGGCTTACGCTTATCCGAACGAGGAGGAGATCGTTCCTAAGAACGACCCAGAGAACGAAGAGAAACGACCGGTCGACGCGAAAGACGAGAAACTGTTCGATCAGAAGGTTCTGATAAATCGCACGCGACCGGAAGCTTGCGACCAGGAGGTACTTCAAACGAATCGATGCTTCGTCGTTTTCCCTCGTGGAAAAATTAATTTCTCCGAGATTATTCCCTTTTTCAATTTCAGGTGTATCTGTATCTACGAAACGCGTCCTTCGACTCGAAGTCGTTCGACACGGAACTCGACATCGGGAACTGTAGCAAGAAGTCGTACATCGTGCAACCGGTCGACTCCAGCAACATGCTGCTCGTGGTCGTGCACATGGACTGCATGGAGGCGAGAGAGCCCGCGTTAACCATTGTCCCCGAAGAGATAATGTACGAGAACAATTCGCTGGTATGCCAAAAGGCACAGACCACTCTCAAGCGGAAGAGACCTCAATCGTGCATACGGTCACACCCGAGGGAAAGCGAGATCAAGGATCTCTGCGGCTCAGCTTCGAACGCGGCGCCGAACGTCTACCTGATTCTACTGCTCTCAATGATTTACGCTCTGACCACCCAGAGAATCGTCTTTGACCAACGTCGCTCTTCGAACACAAGCCGCTCGTTTCTGTTATCGAACGATTCGGTTCCTTCAATTACGCCAACGCGAGTGGGTCTCTCGAGGAGAGACATTGAAAACGTCTCGCGAGATTTCCGTTGCCAACGTATCGAGAGTCGTTAAATGTCGGAGGGGTACAATTCGAGGGGAAGTTCCCTTTAAGTGCTGACTATAGTTACCGTGATTCTCGAGACGTCTAGTATCATACTTTTAGCGAAGCTGTAACAGGGAGAAGTTCTTCGAGTCCAAATGCTGGTACTTTGACCACGACCGCAGGCAGGGTCTGCGTTCGCGTTAACTTTGTCCTCACGATCGTTCACGTGATTTGAGGATCGTGATACGGGATCGGGGTTGATCGATGTTCAAACTACCCGTGAATCGGTGCCGAACTAGTCCTAAAGAACGACCTTACTGCCCGATACGCGACGCGACATTTACTCCGTACACGCCCCTGCTCCCTAGCTTCTGTCCGTCGTCTCGCGCGTTCGACTCTCATGGTGCTCAAGTCGTGCAGTCTGGCTACTGACGTCGATTGGATCCGTTACGAATCGTTTATCTGTCGTGAGAGCTACTCGAAGACTTTGCAATTGCATTTCTTTGTTTGTACGATTATTATCTGAAAGAGAGCTGCTACGAGATCGAAGATAATCAAAATTTTGTAAATCGTCAAGCGTGGGACATACCGCCGGTAGTCACTCGGAGAATCGAGGCGCAGAAGCGACAGCTAGCTCCGGTTTGATTGCGTGTAATGCGAGTTTAATAACTCAAGAGCGGTGCAAAGGACCAAGTTGATTCGCGCGAGAAACGCTCGTAGGTAGACGGAAGTTGCGATGGAATGATGAAATCGCATTTACCACGAACTCAATTCGCCACTGGTTCGCTCAGTCGCTTGTCTTAATACGTGTCGACCGTTTGGGTATTAGATAGAATTTTGCGGAGGAGGAGGAGGAGCAGGGTCATATGCTGTATCGGCGTTCATGCGTTTACGATATACTATGAGAAGACGTTCACGCGTACATATAAATAAGTACATTTCGCGCTTTGTACATTAATCGATTGTAAAACGTGTCGTTTCATATTTATAGAGATTACGGATATTAATTTTGTATATTAATGTATTATACGAGAGTTACGAGGATGTGTGCCTTTGGACACGCGGGGTTGAAAAGAGGAAATATGACAAAGTTCTTGTTGTATGTTTTTCAAATAAACGATTGATACCTCTACTTCGTCGGCACTCTGCTACCTTGGAAAGAGAAACAGAAACGACAAGAGATTTTCGCCTGTGAAACTAATGGTGTTACTTGCGTTACACAGAGTTTATTACGATTTCCTATGTACAATGGCTTGCCTATGTAAAACGAGAACGTTTCTCATCAAAACGGCAAATGTTGAAAAAACAGACTGTTACTTCAATTGACATTTACCTCCCTTTCTACGATCTCCAATATGGTCTTCCGTTGCATATCCTTGTAGATTTTATCCACCAGTTTCTCCAGAGGTGCTCCGTCCTTCATTAGCTCTTTCAGATTGTGCATCGTACCGTCTGATATCCTGTGATCCGTCACGCGATCTTGATTGAAATTATACGTTCTGATCTTCTCATTTCTCAACTTCGATCCCATCTGTTTTTTACGTAACTGGCTGATGAACGAGGTCTGCGCCTCTAATTGGTCCTCGTACAACAGAATTTTCAATTTCTTCAAAGCCAACTGTTTATTCTTTATCTGGGATCTCTCCGACTGGCAAGTGACAAACTTGCCAGTAGGTAAATGAGTTATTCTGATCGCAGAGTTCGTAGTGTTCACGTGTTGCCCTCCTGCCCCAGATGCTTTCTTCGATTCTATCTTCAGATCCTTCTCGTTCAATGTTACGTCTACGTCCTTGGGTTCTGGACAGACCGTCACCACGGCTGTGCTGGTATGCATACGACCAGACTTCTCCGTCACTGGGTTCCTCTGAACTCTGTGTACGCCGCTCTCGTACTTGATTTTCTCGTAGGCTCTACCGTCGGTTATTAGTAAAGTCGCCTTCCTTATTCCTCCCCCTTCGGTCTGGAGCAGCTCCATTAGCTCGTAATCGAATCCTAAGTGATCAAGGTAGCTCATATACATGTCTAACAAATCTTTAACAAATAACATAGCTTCCTGGCCACCGACGCCAGGAGCTATCTCCATGATGATGCTTTCATATTGTTGAAAGCCTAAATTTTCTGCAATATTTTCAAAAATCCTCCCGTCTATGTCTCGCAGCTGTTCCTTGTACATCTCCTTTTCTTCTTTAGCTAGCTGTTTCATTTCTTCGTCGTCACTCACTGTAGACAAATTGTTCGTAGAAGATGAGTCGTTTTAACAAGATCAATATATTACTCCGCAACACTTAACTGGACTTACCTAGATCGTTCAAACTTCGTATATTCTCAGTCACTTTAACTTTTTCATTCAACAATTGTGGAATATCACGCAACTTAAGAATTTCAGAAATACTTTCGTCCTTACAAACCTCATTTTGATGAGCGTCAACGAGGCGATTTAAATACTTTTGTAGACCAGATTCCAAAGCGGAAACACACTTCTCTGTACTGAATAATGTAATTCTATAAGTAGTTACCTTGTAAAGGTTATGAAACAATAGATCCCATGACTTCAGTGCTTCAACTCTATTAATGACGCCACCGTAATATCGGCAAGTACTGAACACGCACTCTTTCACAAGAACCAACATGTTTTATAATAAATCATTTCAAAACAGTGCAAGTTACGTTTGTACAATAATAAGACCGAAGACAACGCGAGTAACACCAAAGGAGGAACCGCTTCCGATACTTACCGTCCAACGGATCCATCCGAGTTTTGAAATCGAGAGAAGATTTAACTACGAATCACAGATCACGCTCGAGGACACGTGGGCGCTCGTAGCTGCCGCGCGAAAATTCAAAAATTACGCCTGTCTGGCGGTGCACGGTACGGGGGTACGAGTGATATCCGAGTTTCATCGTTTCTCAAGGTATGGCGCTATGGTAGAAATTCCTCAAATCGTACACACTGACCCACGAAACTTGTATACACACACTTTCAAAGTATGCAGACGATCACTATGTTTTCGTTGTACAAGCTCGCGGTGCATCATTGTTGTTTAATTTAATGAATCTGTACATCAGCGAACGTAAACTGGTAAGTAGCATGCATGCGAAGTTGGAACGAAAAGGATGCTGCATGGGTCGTATCGATTTTCTAACGAGTACACGTATATAATTCCTATTACATTTAAATAACATATCCTGCTGTATCTTTCCCCATAATATATAATCACACGTACACCTACTGGCACTTCTACACTTGGCATAGCGCAAAAATTGCAACGTTACTATTATCTTTGAGAGATTATAATTATGATCTATATTCAATCTTCGTATACATCTTATTAGTACAGATGCATATTTCCTAACTAATCGTTTAACTATAATCGTCTCAACGATATTTATGAACACGTGTGTAAATTTAAAATAACGGCCGGAGGTATATAGGAGGAGGCTTACGAAAATGTGAATGCAAAATGATCAGCACTCGACGAGCTTCTCGCGTTTCGCTCGTCTCAATAGCAACATAGTCAGTTAGAACTTACAAGAGTATTGTAAAACTGTAATAATAAACTAAACAAGATGCACTTAACTGGAATCTTGTCGTCAATAAGCGAGGCTTATCATTTAAATGATTGATGTTAACCGTGGCAGGTAAACGTGCAGCAAACAATATCGGAAATGAAAAAATTCAATCTGGCGGATGGTCGTATGCAGTCGTATGCGCATCGATACACGGTGCGAAAAGCTGCATGCGCGCCACACGCGTGAACGTGCACAAAGTCACGAATTCCTTCGAGAACTGTTGCGCGTTTGCCGAGGAAAGCGTTAAAAGGAATGCTCGTGAACGAGGAGCAGCTCGCAGGGCCATCGGTCGTTCCGCGAGGAACGATCGTTACTCATTTACAATAACGTGGCCAAAGTGCTGCATAACAGTCAGCCCAGCTTTGATGTTCGGGGCTAGCGTACCGCGCGAGAGAGATAGCAAACAATCGAGAACGGAGGAAGATGTACGTACGCGTGGTAGATACCCAGTATAGAGCGGCACGAACTGCTACCTACGATTCACAATACGTACAACTTGCTCGCTCACCGTTTTTCTTTAAAACTACATGCGTATTTCGAAAATAAGCGCTCGCCTGCGGTAGTGGGTAAGTCGCAAAATGATGCACGACGATTCTGTTAAAAACACTCGACGCTGGGGACGATAACGTGTACTCATTAACGATTTAATCGCGGACGCAATGAAAATTGATTTTAATGCGTATTTATGTGTGCAGGCATTTTAATATAATATAAGGAAATCATGGAACCTTGCGAGAACCGATCACAGGAAAGAGTCCAGGAGGGAGGTAAGATCGAATTAAATATTTTCATTCCCGATTACTTTATCGTCCCAATTTTTATTATGTAACATTTGTTCGCTGCGAAATTATGATTTTTCTTTCCATTCGGTAACCTTTTAAAGAATAGTTTTACCTTCCAACATCGTACATGATTCACTTCTCTGGCTTATCTCTCGCTATGAAATCGCGAAGCTCGTGAAATCGTTAATCGAACCCGTGAAGGAAGATCGTCACCTCCTTCGTTTGTCGTATCGTTGTAATAGTGATAAATGTTCACTTATATTCCGTATAGTATGATAATGTCAGATACGTAACAGTATAAAAAAAATAGTACACATGTACTTAACGTTTTTTCAACGAAGTATGTACGAACACTGAATGAATATATTATGTGATAATTAATAATTAATTCGCAGTAAATGATTTGAATACATTTTGAATTCAGGAAGTACCTTACAATTTTTTTAACGATGGACATGCCTGTCCTCCTGTTCTCATATTTTTAATTCTAATTATTTAATTAGATTATAAAATTGAAAATTAATAGAACACTAATATAATTCGAAACAATTAATTAGATCAAATTTCCAGTGGAATCTGAGATGAATCATTCGATTTACAGACTGTAGCTTCTTCTGGCAGGATTACCTCGATGCTACAAACAGTGTTGAAGTGCCACAGATTTTGTTCCCACACGTGGAACTGACGCTTCAGAGTGGTATCGAAATCGGCATGTCTTTGGAAGTGCCAGTTAAAAAGAATGAGAACGAAGAAAACGTGAATTACTGGGTGGCTTCCATCGTCATGGCATGTGGGCCGTTGCTCAGACTGAGATACTTCGGTGGCGATGACAGATCATTGGAGTTTTGGTTCAACCTCACCAAAGAGGCTGCTCACGAGCTTGGCTGGTGTGAGAAGAACGATAAGAACTTACAACCACCCGATGTCGTTCTTCAAAGATCACCAGATTGCGTGGAAAAGTTGGCTGACTTCTTGCAAATAGCCAGGACTATTCCGCCGCAAATGTTATCAGGGGTCAGTAGAAACTTTGTAGAAAGAGATCTTCCGATCAAAGCAGACTATCGTTCAACCTTAAACTTTCTTACGTAGGATGGACTGAGCATGACTGAGAGGATCAAGCAAGGGATGAAAGTCGAAGTCAGTGATGTACTGCACCCGTACAAATTGTGGGTGGCTACGGTAAGGAGTGACTCGTATACTGTGTCCCCTTTACGTAACGTGATTTTATTCACTTTTAATCATTTCTAGATCATAGAGAACGTAGGAGGACGCCTGTTGTTGAGATACGACATACCTGGTTCTTCGCGTAGAGATTTTTGGACGTTCTGTACATCGGAATACCTTCATCCGTATGGGTTTGCGTCTAAATCGGATCCCAGTTGGTTCTTGGAACCGCCCAGTTCCATCGTACAAACGCATACGTACGAAGAATGGAAAGACTTGTTAGACTCCGTACCGAAAAGTTACGATGTTCCGGAAGAGTTATTTAATAACTCCATAGATCATCCGAAGCATCGCTTTACAGTTGGGATGAAGTTAGAAGCTTTGAGTCCTGTGGATCAGATAAAGATATGTCCTGCCACCGTCATAAAAGTGTTCGACGACGTTCATTTCCTCGTACACATCGACACATACGACGAAATCTCAAAAGGAATGGACATCGAATCGTCTCTGCTTAACAGTACGGAGAAAAATACTTGGCTCTGTACCGCGGAGCATCCATACATCTTCCCGGTTGGATGGGCAAAGAGGCACGACATCAAGTGAGTACGACAGATCCTTCTCAGTTGACTGGCGCGTTATATCGCGATCTAACATTGACTCGAATTTCGTTTAGAATCGTGCATCCAAATGGATGGACCCCGAAGGAGGATGAATTCGATTGGGACGAATATTTGAAAGACACACGAGCGACCGCTGCGGAGGAGAACCTGTTCCCCGAGAGACAGAGCGCGATCGACGCTGGGTTCGAATGCGGTATGCGACTGGAGGCGGTCGACCCGGAACGCGAAAATGTCATATGCGCCTCGCACATCGCGAAGATCGTCGACAATCTTTTATGGTTGAAATTGGACAACTACGAGAATACAAGACCCGAGCATATAGTCTACATGCATTCCATGCAAATATTTCCCGTCGGATGGTGCGAGTCCAATCACTACCCATTGAAACCACCGAAGGATTACGTGGAAGTCTGCAAACAGTTACAGATGCCCGAGAAGGAAGCGAAGAAGACTAACATTCTGGACATACCGATATCCGAGCCGCGTTCTTCGTTGTGGTGTCCGAAGATATACTTCAATTACCGTTGCTTCACCGGGCCTATGATCTCTAAAGGGAAACTGGCGACGCTACCGAAAGCGGTGGGACCCGGTCCCGTGATCTTGGTCATGAGAGAAGTCTTGTCGATGATCGTATCCGTCGGATACAGGAGCGCTCGGATACTGAAGGTCCTTCAGTGCGACTCCAAGCCGGATCCTGGATACCACTTGGAAGTTTTAAAAGCGAAACATAAAAATAACACGTATCGCGCCAGCGTCGCTGTGGTCACATCCGGAGACATGGTAGCCGACTTTTGTCGTAATATATGTAAGAAACTGATGGTATGCCCGAACTTGTTCGGCCCGTTGTATGTACCGGAGAACGAGTGCCCGGACAAGTGTTACAAAACGACCAAGACAAAATTCAGTGAGTAACTGGATGAAACTCGGTTCGTTCGATCCTTCCATTGAGTCACTTTTTAATTCGCATCTGTTAATAATTGCAGCATCCGTGGGTACGGGACGCAGAGGCAAACCGAAGGGTTACACGAGCATCATGGTACAAAAGCCGAAGCCGTGGGGTGGCAGGCGGAAGAGAAGACGCGGCAGATGGGCGAACAGAGAAAAGGAACTGCACGAGGAGTTCGAACACGAGGAGGAGATGCCGTTCATGTCGTTGGACTTGGTGAAACACGCGGACGGATCAGGAATCGAGGAGACGCTCGATGGAAGGCCGCCACTTTCCGAGATAGACATAATGATTCAGAAGGATTTGGAGAAAGGGGAGAAGTCAGACGAATTCAAGACCGAGCCTCCTTCCAGCAACGCGTCTGACGATTCCGGAAGTTCGTTTAACGACAATAGGAAGTCGAAGGACGGAGGTAGTCCCAGCAGTTTGGGCAAACAGCACTCCTCGAAGTTCAGCCAAAGTTCCACGGTCACCAGGGCGAGTAAACGAGAGCGCGATTGGGACACGAGCATCGAGTCCGACGGCTCGGACGGGGACTCGGAATACGTGAGAATGCAGAAGAAGCAGAGACGACCAAAAACTCGCAAGCTCGATTCGAATCCACTGTTTTGGAGCGTGGACGACGTTTTCAGATATCTGAGGAAGACGAACGATTGCAAAGACATCGCGTATCGAGTGAGACAAGAGGTAACGTGTACGAGATCACGGAAGGAAATGATTCTTCCTCCGTGTACTGTAATAATTTGTAATTCTGCTGTAATAATTTATCTTTCTTCATTTAGGAAATCGACGGGCTAGCGTTTTTACTATTGAATCTACCATCTCTGACGCAGCACATGAAACTGCGGACCAGTTTAGCCATGAAGCTGTGTCGTCACGTCGAACAAGTCAAAGTCACGTTCTTCTTACGACACATAAATGAAGTAGAACCGGAACAGTATCAAATTGTATAATTCCAATTGATAGGTAACAATTTAACTCTATTATTTATATAGTGTAATATAACGACGGACGTTGACGCGTTATAATTGTATAAATAACGGCGAGAGTTTTAATTTATACACGTATTACGATGCAAGACTGCATTACCTTTAAAAGTACATCGTATATCTAAATTATACTCATGTATATTTAAATTATTTTTCTTATGTCATACGTTTTTTTGACGTTTAAGCAACTAACATTTTGAGAATTTTTTTTCGTTTTCGAAGTGTATAAATAATTGTATAAAGTAACACAGATGTTTTATCGTTGATCTTACTGTTATTCACGTTTACACGGGACAAATGTATCAAACCTTCATTTTGTAAATTGACAATAAAACAATAAACGCATCAGTGGAATGCACGAAGTCACCCTAAAATACTCGCTCGTCGATCTATATTCGCAACCGTTCTCTTGGATATTTCGTAGACTCTATACTTGTCTAAACTATACTGGTCAACGCTCTGCCAAATTACAGACACTGTGGGCGGAATGTCAAACGGGAATTAGCGTAGTAGAGACTACTCCTACACAGATTTCCTACCCAGTTTCATCCTAAGAACTGCATCCTTCTTGTCAAGATAAAACGATCTTACGATTATCGTTGCATGCTCATGCTATGTATTGCTCAATCGGCGCTAGAGAGGCTTTCCCGTTTATAGAATGAAATGAAAGAGACACGATACTTCCTACTAGGCATCGACTTATTTGGCGTTCCGAGCGTCCCGTGGACAAACGCGGTGTATCAATCATCACCAAAAGAAATAGCGAGTAGATACTCAGTAAGCGATACTCGTATTCTTCGCGTGTGGCCCGAAGACCTAACACGTTCACGTGGATAATCGTCAATATAATCTATATTCGAATCGGTAGACTACACGGTGCCGTGGCATCGTAACACCGTCCTCAAAGAGGAAGGTGATAATCAATTTTGCTGAATACACGTATACGTGTAACGCTTGACCTATATTTTTATATCCTGGCCTATAGATGCCTACGATCGAAGGCTTAAATTTACACAGACGTATCTCTTGCCGGAAGAGAGGCCCGTTTATTGACTCTTCGAGGGTACGTTGCCTTGATACAATATTTGTATCTCGACCGCGAGAAAATTTATACTCGTATACTCATGTTTATCGTCGTTCCGAGAAACTGTGTTTTATCTCGCGTCGTTCGTTCGCAACGTTTCGATCGAACATCGACAACGTCGATCGTGAAACTAAGATATATCGTGGCGGAAATGATTCTCACGCCGCATGAATTTCAATGGAATAACGTCATACCACCGAGGAACTAACATCCCTCGCGTAACAATGCTCTGTTTGCCTTCAGGTCCGATGCGGATCAATTTAAAAATGTATCGCTTCCCCTTTTTGCAAAGCACGCGCAGCTGCACTTTAGAATCCTATACATAGAGCGTACATTTACTCAGAGGGCGCGTCTTTTTCGAATCTAGCGCGACGGATATACCTTTGATCTGTCTCGACCGTTATTGGCCAGGGGACACTCATTCCCTTAAAACAGTGCTCACATCATCCCACGGTATCACATCGACAAAGGAATGACCGAGCAAAGAAACGTGAAAAAAGAAGAATAACGGGTTCGATGAATCATCGCCTGACAGATCTATCGATAAAAACGTAATTTTATCTCGGAAAATATTTACATCCGCTGGCGATGGTCTCAGAAATGTCAAGTCTTTTCATAGAGTTCCCTTATGTGAGCGAACCGTAAAGTTCAGTGAAGAAAGCACGTACTGGTGTGTGAATCAGTGTGCCCGAGGCTGTTCGGGTGGGGATCGTGTCTGCAACACATGCACGTGAACATTCACACACTGGTATAGTACCGTACGGTGCGTTACGTGCGCGAGTTGGAGTCAGTGGTTTTTCGATGATGCCTTGGTGACGACGGAATTTTAACGTGTCGAACGAGTACGAAAACGTTGAGACAGGTGAGGCACTCGTTACAGTGAACGATCGAACAGGCTCTCTGTGTCCGTAGCTCGAAGACGTCGCTCAAAACCCGTGAAACCCGCGAACGAACGAAGCGTCGGCGATCAATGTTGGTTCGCGGGTGTGCCCGTTCCCGTTCGCCCAGCCCGATGTGTTCCCTTTTTCCCCTTTCGGTCCCCATGGGAAATCCGTATCCCGACCGGCGTTCGATCGATACATATTTCTTTTGACCGTCGTGTGAATCAGGTAAACGCGTGGTAAAAGGTGCGAATGAACGAGGAGGACGACGGTAAAATATCCGTCGACGATGTTGTGATTTCGAAGGACGAGTTCGGTGAGATCATCGCAACACCATCACCTGTTCCCGTGAATTGTGCGCGATACGATTGCGTTCACCTGTTCTATTTTATTGGTTCCTCGAATGTCTTTCTACAGTGCGTCTAAAACGCAGCTCCGTTCCGCAGTTAGCCGGTCCGTTGACACACGTCTACTTTTCTATACACACAGATATTGTTCGTTACTCTCTTGCCGCGGAGTGCACGCCCATTTTTCACGTCTCCATTGGCAACTGCAAGTCGCCTAACATTTCCATTCTTATTTCTATGCGATTCAGAAATATCCTCTCGCTCGTTCATTCCAAAGTAAATATTTTATACGATACACACATACACGTACGTGTAGATGATTCATTACGATGGTTCCGTACACAACGTCGTAAGTACACATGCACGCAGAGAAACTGGTTCAAACGGTGTTAAAAAAAAAGAACGTGCTCGTGAATAGTGAGTAGAATTAGTAAAGGTCGCCGGCGATAATTTCAATCAGATTCGTTTGAATCGCGAAGATTGAGACGGACGAGTCCATTGAAAACCATTTCAATTTGTAATTTACGCTTCTCGAAGAGAGACACGCGTAACGAATTAGCAGTCTACGTTCTGTATGTACAGAACAATCGCGAAACCGCTTGTGCTATAAAAAGTTCTAAGTACTCCTTCTTTTAAAAATGTTGATACGATGGAACTTCTGTTTGTAGATCAAGAAAATACCGGCCGATCATGAAGCTTATCGTGTGCATTGTCTCAACGCTGTTACTGCAGGCATCGGCTTTAAGTGAGTGTAATACCCTCATCACGTTTCATGCATATCGGTCACAATAAATTCGAAGTACATGACAGTCGTTACAGTCAATCAGTTTCCGTGATAACAATCTGTGATTTTTAATTATTATAGTCCGTATCCCGGATATTATAGGAGGTGAAAACAGTAGCAAACCGCCAGATGCAGATAGCTATCACATAGAATTAAGAATGTATTGGCTATACAGTCAATCCCAAAAGTTTATGTACCTTAGAAAAACGCATTTCCTATCATTAAAAATAGTGCACTTTTCTTCTAATTTCGATATTTAATGAGTTAAGTATGATTCTTTGGCATTTTATTGATGTTGACGAAATCCGACCATTCCACCGTCGAAACAGCGAACTTCTGGCAAAAAATTTCGTTTTTCCTCAATAACTCCTAAACCGTTGGACTTACGGGAAAATTGCATACGACCTTTCTTGTAGAGGACGACGAGATCTACAATTTCTGTATAAAAATTTTTCGCTAGCATTAATAGTTTACGAGTTATTGACGAAAAACGAAAAAACAGTTTTTTGCAAATTACTCGTAAACTATTGACGCTAGCGAAGAATTTTTACATGGAAATTGTAGATCTCGTCGTCCTCTACAAAATGAGCCTAAATACGCCCCCCTAAGTCCATCCGTTTGGAAG